GATCTGTTGACAATCCAGAGTCTCTCTTCTTGATTCCTTACTGAGGTGGTATGCAGAAGAGCACTTCCAATTTATGGTCCTTGTTCTTGGTTTCCTTTTAAAAAATAGTACAAAAACTTATTGAAATTGAATTTTTATTAGGTGGAAAATTTGAAGTGTGGGCAGACCAATTTAGATTAAGAAATGGTGATGTTAAAATAATATTCAATTTTCTAAAATAATTCAGTTCTGAACTTTAAAAAAAGTGCTATATTACGCAAAATGCTAATGACTAAAGTGACAAATATTTCAGAAACTGGACAGACGTGAATCTTAAATGAGCAGATGGGATATGAAACTAAAACGGGAGAAAATCCAAGATGATATAGAAACTATTATGAGAAATGAGTTGAGGAAAAACAAGTATGTTAAATGGTATTACATTTAATAATGTGTTTAAAAGCCTTTCTAGGACTGCTCTCTTACATAGAGTAGAATTGTTGAACTGTGTAACCCATCATACTTTAAATTCTGTGCGGTTAAAACAAATTAGATTTCGGTTCAGGATGACTTCTCATGAAGCCTAGGCTTTTACGTTGTGAATGTGTATGTTATATGTGCTTTAAGTAGACAATATAATTTGCTGTCTCTGACATCAAAATTAAGAAAGGGAATAATCATGATTTTCAAATATAATTGTGGTGGACCTTGAAGGGGAGAGCTGTAAGGGGTAAAAGATGAGGAGGCTTTGCTGTTTGGGCAGCTTGGCATTGTTAAGATCATTATGTTATGACTATTGAGGATAGCATCTGGGACATAGTGGATTGAGGAATAAGTGAATGGCAAGATGAGCAAATACAGATACTTTTCAGTTTTATTTATTGATTTAGAGATGGGTGTGGTAGAAGGGGGTAGGGGTCTTGCTCTGTTCCCCAGGCTGGACTCCTAGCTCCTGAGCTCAAGCAATCCTTTTGCCTCAGCCTCTGGTGTAGCTGGGACCACAGGCACATGCCACTGTGCACAGCTTACTTTACAGTTGAATTCAGAAGACACCTGGATTCAGAAGAAGGGTGATTGTGAAGCAAGCAGGATGGAGGAGTAAGGAGAGTACGAGGGGAAGAGCCTGAAAGGTAGATTTGTATTTGTAGATTTAGGACCAACAATAGTGGAGAGTGAAGGAAAAATGAACGGTATAAGAAAAGTTGATAACTGATTAAACAAGTCTGGCTGGGGGATTATCAAGAACCGAGCTGATAGGGTTATCACTGGAGAAGAGTAAGACACCTCCTAGAAACAAAAGATGTGAGGATGTTAAGAAGGAAATAAGTGTGCAGGAAGTTTTATAGCTTGAGTGCTTTTTGAATTCAAAAATTGGAAGAGCTGAGCTTGAACCTGAATGAACAAAATCAATTAAAAAAATTTTAGCTAAAAGTTTTGTGTTTTATTTGATAATGGTTGATTACAACAAGCACTTTATTTTTTATTTTCCTTTAATGGTTGTTTTTATTAAAGAGTTTTACAACTTCACAAATATAAAATTGATTTTGAGCTGGCCATGCCAGAGGTGACATACAGCTACTTAAATGAGTATTGTTCAAAGTCAGCCTCCTTGAAATGGATCAAATAATGTTGCCATTGTTTATAGTATTCTTTGGTTCTTTTTCTTTGGGATTGCTTTTAGAGACAGCCAGTCACTCCAGAAAAATCTTACTTTAATGGATGCTTTTTTGTTCAATGTTTTCTGTCTTTGCAGCTTATTGTTTTAGTTCTAATTTTTGCTAAAAATTGCTGCCTAAACGAGCAATTTACTACCCTCTGATAGGGGCCTTACTGATGATGAGCAAAAGCCCTGGAAAGAGGTCTGCTTTGGATATATTGGCATACACACATTATGGATACATGTCAAGATTTCCAACCCTGCTTGAACTGCTGCCTTCTCTGGTTTTGAGTCTAGTGGTTCAGTGTACTTTGTTTTCTTATAGCGTCAGTGAATGTGGATTTAGCGATCCATTGTTTGGTAAGACTAGATATTGGGATCAACTAAATGGGAGTGGTATTTTTGCTTTCTGAGGAGCAAGACAAATTATCATGAAGGTAGAGTAGAATTTTAAGTTGTATCCTCCTTATGTCTGTCTAGCAAGAGTCAGATACTGTCTTGAGGTCCATTTTTGGTGAGGCAGAAGTAATCATTAAGAAGAGCCTTGGAATTAATAAACGTATCCTGTTGTGGTACTCTCTCTTAGCTTGGAAGTTTGGTTTATATGATACCAAAGTTCTTACCTTTGCCCATTTAATGTTACTTTATTCATTGGTCACTGCCTAGTATCCCATACGTACTCCTTCAGCAATTTTTTCCACAGTTGAAGAAGATTGTAATCTGCCTTTGAATAGTTAGTGTGGGAGTTGCAGCGGACTCTTTACCTATAGTAGGGATGCCTCTGCTAGTTGTTTAGATTACAAATTGTGGTAGCAAGTATTATTTTCTGTTTTTGAATTTTAATATACTAAGAGTTTTAAACAATTTCTCAGTCAGCTTTACTATCTTTGGTCTTCAGATAACATAGTTTTATTTATGATTGTCTTTTCTTAGTATGTTTCACATTATAAAAGGGAATTGAAATCCTATCAAAAAGTGTGATATAATCCTAAAGCTGTAGATATTTTAAGAAAACATAATAATTATTCTAAAAAATTAAGAACAGGCTGGGCACGGTGGCTCAAGCCTGTAATTCCAGCACTTTGGGGAGGTCAAGGTGAGAGGATTGCCTGAACCCATGGGTTCGAAAACAGCCTGGGCAACTTGGCGAGACCTCATCTCTACAGTAAATCAAAAAATTATCCGAGCATTGTAGCATGTGCCTGTAGTTTCGGCTACTTGGAAGGCTGAGGTTGAAGGATTGCCCGAGCCCAGCAGGTCGACGCTGGGGTGGTCGCGGGTATGCCACAGCCTGGGCGACGGAGTGAGACTCCAACTCAAAAAAATAATAACAGGTACTTTACAGTTTTTCAGATGTAATATATAATATACCTGAGTAGTTTAGCATTTAAAATTTATGTCAGAGCATAAATCTGCATCATAGCAACTAAACAGCATAAATATTTGCTTCTGAAATACAAGTTCTTAACTAAATTTAAGTTACTAAGAACAGTTTTCAAAGTACAGTGCTTTACCTACACAATGTGGTCATCTGCACAGATTGAATCAAGTGTCATGATCCCATATAGAGTACATTCATTATTGTCTGTAAGTTACTTGAGAGGTATGTATGAAAATGATATTTTTTTGCTATTTGGTGATAAGGTTGTGAAACTCAGCTTTGTAACTCAGATGGTGCTGCTCTTGAATCTGCCTGCAAGTTCCTATAATATTTAATTAAACAGTAAAATGATTCTCACGAGAACCCATATTTTGGTGTATGTAAGCTAATAAACTGGCTTTAGTAAATTGTATAAATTTGATTTGAAGTAGTATTTGCCAATTCTTAGGAAACCTTTCTAATGAATCTGTTAAGATGAATAGTGTGTATTGGTAGTTTATGTGGTAAACTCAAGTAATATTCCAAATGGAAAAACAAGTGGAACTTGCTGAGGTAGGCATTTACCTTCTAAAGTAACTTTGATTTTGTTGCCAAACTTTCTCGTTTGGTAGGTGTGACACAGAGCCGACTTTAACAATTTCCAGAAAGCTGTGAGACAAGTAATGATATATGTTAGCACCCATTTTAGAAAATATCTGTTGATTTAGATTCCTTGTAATCTACTTTATTTTTTAATTTTAATTTTTTTTTTTTTGAGTTGGAGTCTCACTCTGGCACCCAGACTGGAGTGCAGTGGCCGCTACCGGCCACCATAGCCTCGACCTGCTGGGCTGTGGCGATCCTTCCGCCTCAGTCTTCCAAGTAGCTGGAACTACAGGCATGCGCTACCACACCTGGCTAATTTTTTGATTTATTGTGAGATGAGGTCTCACCAAGTTGCCCAGGCGAGTCTCGAACCCACGGGCTTAGGCAATCCACTCACCTCAGCCTCCCAAAGCGCGGGATTACAGGCTGAGCCACCAAGCCTGACTGTACCTTATATTTTAATTTTGGAACTGAAAATAGGAGTATTTTAAACAACACAGTCTAGTTTTAATAACTTATGTGGACATAACTGGTTAGCTGTTTTGTAAAAGTTTGAGTTTGGTGTTAATGTATGATGGAAATGAATAAATTTGTCAGTTACATAAATACTTACATAAATAATACAATAGCAGGCTGTAAAACATTTCTAGATATTGTTGTAACTATTGTCTTTTATAAAATTTATCTACTTTTTATTTAATTCTACTTTTTACTGGAGGGAAGACAAGACTGAAAGGTGATGGTTGATGCCGGACTGGATGACATGAAGGAGTTGGGGGTTAATTCTGTGTGCATAGAGGAATGTCTGAAGGATTTTAAAGAGGATAATGGCATGATCCGATTTATGTTTTAGAGAGAAAACTCAATGGACTCTGTGGAGTATGAATTGTAATAGGGGAGAAACCAATGGCAGGGAGAAGGCTCTTAGAGCAGTCTAGGTATGATAAATAATTCAGTGTCAGTAGGAATGGAGAGAAGGAAATGGATTGAAGTAGTATTTTGGAGGTAGAAGTGGCAGGCTTGGTAACCAATTATATATGTCTTAGGAGAGGAATCAAATGCTAAACACATGGTTTTGGTTTTATGGCATTTGCATTCTTTTGTATGCAAAATGGGGAAGAACAGTTAGCACCATCCATGAGCTGTAGTTGTTAAGCAGTAGACTATGCTTTGATTACATGTGGGTATATCGGAAAGTATTCACTAATCCTGGGTTCTTGCTGTTAAACCCTACAGAAATCAAACAAAGTTTTAAAGCAGGGGATAGTGAAAATAAAGGGAAAAGAAACATTAGCATTTATAACCCACCTAATTCCAGAAGAGATTTGAGGTAGTTAAGAATATGTTTTATAAGGAAGGGGAGTATGGAGAAAAAAGGTAAGGAAGGAGGAAGGACGCATGACTGGTGAAGTAAACAGAGCCTTTGGCAGGTGGTATGTGGTGATGGTGGTGGTGGTTGGAAGTGTGAATCAGACTTTTGGCAGGGTAAGAGCTCATGAAATTTTGGTTATCAGAAATGGGTATGGAAAAGTGCTGATAAGAAGAAAAAGATGGGGAGAGAGGTGATAGCTAAGTTGGCTCTTTTTCAGCCTTTGTAGCATAGGGCCTCTACATTTAATACTGCCAAGCTCAGAAAGAAGATATATTTTTCCTCTACAAATCTGCTTTGAAATATTCTTACTAATTTTTTTATACAAAGTTTTTATTTATATTAATTTCATATCAGTGATGCTTTTGGTAAGAGGATGAAATAGAGTTTTCCCCTGTTTTCCTTCATGCCTTTGTGGAAATGGCCAGATTTTGGGAACCAGTGGATTGAATAGCGGGGGGATTTGTGGAGACCACAAAACAGTATTTATCATTGGTGCTCCATTCTGATTTTGGATTGTTTTAAATTTCCTTTTTTTTTTGAGTTGGAGTCTCACTCTGGCACCCAGCCTGGAGTGCGGTGGTGCCTCAACCTGCTGGGCTCCGGCGGTCCTTCCGCCTCAGCCTTCCAAGCAGCCGGAACTACAGGTGCGTGCTGCCATGCCGGGCTAATTTTTGATTTATTGTAGAGATGAGGTCTCACCAAGTTGCCTAGGCGGG